AAACCCTCAAACCCTACGGCCCTAAAGCCCTAAACGGTTTAGGGGCGTCACCTGAAAGACGCTCGACAGGCTGAGGCTGCCGCACTGACAGCGCCCCGTGGACTTCGTGCCTTCGACCCCAAAGACGCCGAACCATTCAGTTTGGGATGTAGGGCTTAGGTGTTTAGGGTTGAGGGGTTTAGGGTTTAAGTGTTTAGGGTTTAGGAGAATCCGACCTAAACTATCAAGACGCCGAAACCATTAAGCTTGGGATGTAGGACTTAGGTGTTTAGGGTTTAGGGTTTAGGGGTTTAGGATTTAGGGGTTTAAGGACCCTACCACAGTGGGAATTATGGTATCTTCCTTGTTATGAGTAATCTTGGCTGACTTCTGAACCCCTCCCAAAAGTTAAACTTTTAGCCCATATATTATAGTTCATATAGAAACCCCAAAAGTTAAAGTCTAAAGAGCCAACCAGAAGAACGCTAAGATTAAGTTTGGGATGTAGGACTTAGGTGTTTAGGGTGTAGGGGTTTAGGGTTTCGGTGTTTAGGGTTTTCGGGTTAGGGGCTTAGGGGGTTAGGGTTTGGGTGTTCAGGGTTTAGGAGAATGCGACCTAAACTATCATAAGATTTTCGTTTTCAGCCATGGGAAATTCCCTTGAAGCCCTATAAAGCCCCGTGATTAAGGAACATGACTTCAAGTTTAGTAATTATATGGACCAAACGAACATAGAAGGTCTCTTGACGAAACTGAGTACACCCTACATCACAGTAAGGAACCCCTCCAAAAATCAAGCTGCTGGGAGCTTGCCGTGCATGTGCTCGGGTCGCACATGCATTACGGGGTGTAGGGATTACGGGTGCGGGCGGTGAGGTTTTAGAGCTGAATTGCGGGATTTAGGGGTCAGCCCCCACGCCCGAAACCTAGAGAGTTTCAGGCAAAGTTTAAGGGTGTAGGGCTTGGAGATGCAGGGTTTGGGGCTTGGGGTTGAGGGATTTGTTGGAAGACGTCAGGCTTAGTTCGGGTTTAGGGCTTCAGGGTTCGTTCATACTAGTGTTTCCATGCTTTTTTCGCACTCGTAAAGCCTTAAAATGCCAACCCAAAGCCTTACATCGTGATAAGCCCTAGATTCCAAATCAGAAAACCGCATAAGCCCTAAACCCCAAACCCCCATGAGCTCCATGAACCCCAAAACCTTTAAAAACCCTTAGCCCTAAAACACCACACTGTTTTCGTTCCTGCATGAAAGTAGGTCGCTCGGGGGTTTAGGTCGTTTAGGAATTCAGAGTTGTGGGGGTCACCGGTCAGGGTGCACCTGAACCCCAAATCCCAAATACCTTACTTGTTACACAGGACTTAAAGAAAAAACGATGATGGGACAACCGTGAAAGGAAGGCTCTAACTATGATTTCTAGGGTCCAGGTAGGGCGTTGGGGTTAAGGGCTTCAGTGGCTTACAGACTTTGGTGCATTGTGTTTGTTTTGTTGTGTTTTGTTTTTCTGGGTTTAGGGTTTAGATTTATAGAGTTCGTGCTTAGGCTAGAATCCACCCCACACCGCTGAACCCAAATTCGCCGAAACTTCAGCGCAACTCGGCCTGCGGGTTCGCGCCAGCGCTGGTGCCATAAAGGCCCCACCATTCCTTCAACACAAGACTAAATAGGATTCCTGTACAAGGGCACCATAAGGATTTCTAACAGTCTAGGGTCCTTAGCAATTAGAACAGGCTTCCTCTAATCAAAGAACCCTAAGGGGCAGTATGGGTAATTTCTACCCTTCTAGACCGCAATAGAATCATCTGGGTAACTATTCAAGCTTCTTTAGAAACTCAGGGGGTTTCGGTGTTTTCTTGGATTTGGGGGTCTTAAGCTTAGGAGTGAGACTTTTTTACGTGTTTATGGCGAAGGGTTTTGGGACTTTCGGGGTTTTGGGGTTTAGGGATATCGTTGAGGTAAAGGCTTGGCACATAAGGTTGAGGGATGTACTTTAGGTAGGAGTTTGGTCGGGCTTTTTAGCCGGGGTAATATAGGATTTCATGGACCTTATGAAGTGAATATCAGGTTTTGTGTGTAGGATTCCCAGTTGAAACCCCATCACAAGAACAGTTGCAGCAGCAACCACACGGGACGCCTCGTGAACAACAGGGCTCTATAGTATTTCCGTATGAGGAAGGGGCTGTGGCTGGCAGGGCTATGAACCCAACGTGTAGTGACCGAGGTCAGGTTTTGCTGCATGTAAACGAGACTTGGGGCTCGTGTGGTTTAGGAGTGCTTTGAGCCCGATAGCACCCATACACGGAAGAACCTGCTATGTAGGATACTGTGCTTCTCAGGTGTGACATTGGTTGAGGAAACCAGAGTTGAGGGACAATAGGAGGGATCCCTAGAAAGGACCCCCAATCCAAATACCCTATATAACCCTTGTATACGCCTTATACGGTCTCATAAAGCCCCTATACCCGAAACCCTAAACCCGATATAACCCCAAGGGTCCATTTAAGGGTCCCTCCTTTAGTCCCTTGATAGAGGGCTTTGGATGGATACCCGAACACTGCAAAGCCGTCACAGGCCCATTTCCTGCGGGGGTTTAGGGGTTCTAAGGATTCATACTGTTGATGGTCTAAATCCTGCATTATCTTAAGGACCCCCAACTATGGGAATTGTGGTAGATTCCTTATTATGGGTAATGCTCATCAACCGTATCTAGGCTTTTGGGGTCAACCTCCTGCGAATGCCAGCCAAAGATAGTTCAGGGCTCGAGCTTCTGATCCTTTGCGTGATGAACCCTATAAACCCTAATTAAACCAACACCCTAAACCCTAACGCCTGAAATCCCCAAACCCCAAAGCCCTGGCCTTTGAACCATCTTGCACCTCAAACCCTACTTAACTTCACGAACTACGCGGCAGACCCAGCGGATGCCTCGTTGCCGATGCCATCAACTAAGTTAGCAAAGGCGCCGCCGCCTGAGCTCATGGGTTTTGTGCCTTTTAGGATGTTTTAGGACTTTAGGGCCTTAGTTTAGGCAGGTGTGCAGTTTGGGGTTTTATTGCTCATTATGTTACCTGTGACCCCAAACCCTACAAAATAGTAGGTTATGACCCCTTAATTAGAGGGTAGAACCCTTAAAACGGTAGGTTTTTGGATTCCCAGGCAAAGCTCCTGAGTTCCAAGAGGCCGTTTAGTGTGAAGCCGCAAGGTAGGACCCAGAGTCTGCAAACATGGAGCCCCAAGTCGAAACCCAGAGACTCCAAAACCCCTTAATTCAGGAATATACGGTTTAGGGTTTTGGGTTTACGGTACGACGATCCCTAGTATGATTTAAGGCATATTCCTTAATTAAGGGGTTTTGGGGTCTCTGGGAAGCTAGCACCATGACCCTTGAAAGTAGGGGCACTTTACCCTTGCACTATGAATCCCTATATGGTATATGAGGCTTAAAGCCTTTTAGGGTTCATTTTGTCCAAGGTAGCCTGAACTACTGTTGATGATATAAATCCTGCATGACCCTCAAGGACCTTAATCTATGGGATTTTATTGTATATTCCAGATTATGGGTAATGCAGGATTTTTTACCATCAACCGTACGACTGGCTCCTGTTATGGTAAACTCCTTTTTACGGGTAATGCAGGATTTATGTCATCAACCGTACGACTGGTTCCTGACACCCTACACCCTAAACCCTGACTTGGGAACCCTAAACCCTCAACCCAAAAAACCCAAACCCTGAAAAAGGCTGGCTAATGAGTTGGGAAGAGTACAAACATCAGTAGCCCAGAGAGCCCAATACAACTTAACTAAGGAATATCCTCATGTCGTAGAGGGCTGCTTATTCTTGCTGAGATGATTCATATTGTTCTGATGTTTCGCATATTCCGGATTACAGGATATTGCGCTCTCTGGAAGGGAACTCTGATTTGTTGCCCTTCCACTGTCGACATACACATGCGCGTACCATCAGCGGCGAGTCTGTAGCGAAACATATGTATAGTGATATATGTGCACCCCGTGTACAGACATAGAGATCCCTATGCTTCCAAGGACCTGATAGCTGGGGCCCTAGACCCCTTAAGGACCCAATACTCAGTTCCCTGGAAGCATAGGGTTAGGTTAGGTATGCAACTGTAAAGGTGGATGTGTACGCAACGCCAAAGTTATGGACGAGCAAGACGGTTCGACATATACTACGATTACGGAATTAGGTCCCCCAAACCATAATGAGGATGGTCTTTTGGGGCCCAGTTCCATAATAGTAGTATATGTGGACCCTCTGGGAAGGTAGGCTAACACCCTAAAACCCTAAAACCCTAAAATCCTAAACCCTAAACCCTACACTAAACCTAAACACCTTGCTGCCAGCATGGGCGCATGTGTCATGCGTCGACACAGCTCCACATTTCCACCACTCATCCTGTGCTGCTTGAAAATGTAGAGACGGCACATGTACAAGACATGTCCCCTAAGGTTGAGGGTTTAGGGTTTAGGGGTTTAGGGGATTAGGGTTTGGGGTTTAGGCGTTTAAGGGGTTTGGGATTTAGGGTTTAGGGCTTAGAGGCACCGTATACTGGGCGGGAAGAGGCTTGGGGACAGCTTTTGGGACATCAGATTGCAGACTCCAGGGCATGAAGGCTTTGGCCGACAGCCCCTGCAAACAACAACCTAAACTGTTTAGGGTTTATGGTTCACCCTAAGGGTCCAGGTATCTCTTTAGGAGGGTCCGGAATCTCCTAGGGAGAGCCCTTGGGTCTCTTTGGGGTCTCAGAAATGGTACTTTTTTGAGGTGCCCGAAAGTGTTAGGACCCTTAGGGTAGGGTTTCCTACACCCAACTGATACATACTTTGGCCTTAACGTAGTCCCTAGAAAAATACTTTGGGGCCAAAGTATATACTATTTGGGTACCTGGACCCTTAGGGTGAGGCTTTTTGGCACACAGCCCTTGAAAACAACAGCCTCAACTTTCGCTTTGGGCAATGCCTTAGACCCTATACTAAAGCACTGAACCCTCAACTACCGAGACGGTTCGTTTGGCGTTGGAATATAGTTTGGGGCCAGGGGTGGCCTGAACACAAAACTCCAAACCCCGCAAGCATGAACTGCAAATAAAAATCCCTAGCAGAGCAATGCTGTCCTAACTCTAGTTCACGGTCGGGATAGTACTAAAACTACAATTCTGCTCCTTAGAGCCCTAAACCCTAAACCCTAAACCCTAAGCCCTAAGAACTAAACCCAACCATGACAAAGAACCATGGCCTGATCCCGGCATGTTGAACGTAGGGGACTCAATAATTAGAAGAGTTTAGGGTTTAGGGTTTAGGGTTTAGGGTTTGGGAGATATATTACCCTATGCTTCCAGGGAGCTGATTATTGGGTCCTTAAGGGGTCTAGGGCCCCAACTATCAGGTCCTTGGAAGCATCGGGTTATAGTATACCTTTAAGTTTAGACTTTGGTGCTGTGCAAGGGTTCCGGTTTGGGAGTATGTTATAGTATACCTTGAATGTTAGAACAGGGATCCTTTAAAGGGTTCCGTTTAAAGGGGTCTACAAGGTTTACAATAGTGCCTACTATCAGGACTTAGAGTAGGGGCCTTTGTTCAAATAGGGTTTTAGGGTATGTTATAGTATACAGTTAACAAACGGAACCCTAATAATGCAGAATATGGGAGTTTCCGAAAATTAGGGGTACATTATTTTTGTGGTTCTTATAATAAGGATCCTATTATTTTGGGGTACTATATTAGTGTGCCTATTTTCGGAAACCCCCATATGTCGGGAATTATTCAGGCACCTGGGTTCAATCGCTCCAGGGGCTTATAGGGTTCAGGGTTGGAAGCGATGTAGAGCTAAAGCCTGAGGCCTTGAGATTCGCGTTTGTAGCTTCAAGCCCCAGGACACATTGCAGATTGCTTTCAAAACAAGCCCTAAACCCTAAAC